GTAGAAATAAACCGTAAGGTGAAGTTGTAATTCTTGGGAGGTCGACGAACGGTTTAAAGCTTGCAACCCATGAACCCATGGTATGATCAAACTTTTCATATATTAGACACCTATTACGTACATGATTAATTAAGATTTAATTTAATAATATTAGGTATAATTATAATTGTAGATTTTTTAATCATTTAATTCTCAAAAATATATAAAAAATATATTTAATATATTTAACATCTTTTTAATTAATATTTTATATATTTTTAAAATAGTAAAAAGATAAAAATAAAAATCTAAAATATTAAAAGGGGTAGTGCTATTGGGACAACTTTTTTGTCTTACTTTTTTGTATAACTTTCATATGTTATTAAATGAGTAAATGCATTCAATATCACAGGTCCTACATGAATTAAAAAAATCAATCATTTTAATGATATGTCAAATTATAAAAAAAAACAAAATAAAATAATTATCTCAATAACATTCCCCATAATAAATAGCATTTTCAAATAGAACTTAATTCCTACGCTACACTTTTAAGGTGGTGTTTGGCCGGCAGATTAAGATTCCTCTCATATTGTTAGAAGTCAAATTGAACTTCCAGCATTTGGTATATTTGTATACGTGAGTGAACCTGTTATTCTTTGTATTGCATTAATAATAATAATAATTGATTTTGCCGCTCAAAGAATAAAAAAGAGAAAAACACCATCAGGCAATATTGTGAGAAATACAAGTTATTTTCTCTTTTCTGTAGACATATACACATTCAAGGAAAAAAAAAAAAACTGAACTACGTGCTTTGGTTTATTTTCTTTTTCGCATCCAGTTACAAGTGATTGGAGGTAAAATCCCAACACAAGTTTTTTCTTTTTTTTTTTTGATCAGCCAAAAGTAGTATTATATATTATAGTAAATGAGTACAAGGGATACTCTAACCCTTTACATCATCAAATTATGTGAGGAAATTCAAAATGACAGTTGCCTTCCTAGAGCATATTATAGATCTATCTCAATCCATTTAGCCTACTTTGACATGCTTCCATAGGATCTTTAAACCAAAGATCCTTAACTATATCTTTGTCAAAGTTAGCCCTCAACCAATAAAAGGATCTTAGCTTGATTAAGTTCACCACATACTCAAGGGGTTCAGCGCCTTCCTTGAAGATCAGCTGGTTTCTCCAAAGCCAAATAGACCACAGTACAGTAAACCAGATCACATTCCATGCTATCTTGACTCTTTCGTTTAAAACCATACCCATATGTTGTTGAAGATGGCCCCATCCTTCATTTGATGAAGCAAATTGGAAACCCCACCACGCACAGCATGATTGCCAAATCTTCCACCTTGTTGCACACGTGAAGAATAGGTGGTTAACAGATTCCTGGTTGTATCCGCACAAAACACAAGAGAAATCAGATTCAGTTCCCACAATACCTCTTTTTGCAAATTATCTCTTGTGGGAATCCTATTTTGGAGGGCCTTCCAAGCAAAAGCTGATACTTTCAGTGGTACATCCTTATTCCATATTCTGCTATACTGTACCAGATCCAGCTGCCTTGTATCATTTGATAATTCATTATATGCTGATTTTGTAGCGTAACTACCCATCGAGTTGTGCCTCCATCTCCATTGATCTTGTTTCCTTTGTTTTAATTTTTTCTTCTTGAGCAGCTCAATGAGTTCCTGCAAAACAGTATGATCATGTCCTAGTAGCTCCCTATTCCATCTCCACTTCCACACCCACTCTCCCTCCCTCCAATCCTCCATATCTTTTATTAGCACTTCCTTATCCTGCAACAGCCTATACAATCTATTAAATTTCTCCCTCAAAATTAAATCTCCACACCATTCTTCATGCCAAAAGGATTTCTCATTCCCTTCCCCAATAACCTTTTCTAAACCCTTTTGCACCCAACCCTCTTTAGAAGCTATTGCCCTTTCAAATTTCCACAATTCCCTCCATCAATCTGAACTATTTGCTTTCACATCCCTTCCTTTATAATCCCGTTTTCTATGCACCTTATACTTGGCTTCCACTACTCTATTCCATAATGCATTTTTCTCTATTAACAATCACCATCGCCATTTTCCTAACAACGCCAAATTAAACCTACCTAAATCTTTCACCCCAAGGCCACCTTCCTTTCTACTTTTACAGACTTTTTCCCATTTAACCCAAGGAATTTTTCTATTAACCTCACTACCCCCCCCCCCCCATAAAAATCTCCTTTGGATTAAGGAAAGAGTTTTAAGTACCTTTTTGGGAGCTCTCAATGTTGAAAAGAAATATACCGGGATACTTGATAGAACAGCATTCAAGAGAAGGATTCCACCATCGAAGGACAACGATTCACATTTCTAGCTTGACAATTTCCTTCTCAAGCATTCAATCACACGCACCCAAGTAGAGTTCTTCTTCGGATTGGCACCAATGGGAATTCCCAAGTACTTAAGTGGCATTTCACCCTTCATGCAATTGAGTTTCTTTACCCATATACTGATCTCATTTTCCTCAACATTAATTCCATACAATGCACTCTTATAATAGTTCACCTTAAGTCCTGAGGATAGCTCAAAACATCTCAGCACACATTTTATTGACCAAATATTTTGGTCTAAAGCCTCACAAAAAAAGATTGAGTCATCTGCAAACTACAAGTGTGTGACTTCCAACTGCTCAGTGCCCACCATAACTCCTTTGTACAAGTTCTCCTCTTTGGCTTTAAGAATTAGCTCATTCAAGGCTTCGGCAACCAGTAAGAATAAAAATGGAGCTAACGGATCACCTTGGCGTAATCCCTTTTCCATGTGGAACTCCTCTATAGGACTGCCATTTACCAACACTAAAGTCGTTGTGGTAGACAAGCATTCTTTAATCCACAGTCTTCATTTTGTGCAAAAGCCATAGTTTTCCATCATCAAGTCTAGAAATCTCCAGTTAACACTGTCATATGCTTTTTCAAAGTCAACCTTGAATATTAGAGTCGGTTTCTTGCGTCTTTTTGCCGCATGAATCACCTCATTTGCAATCACGATCCCATCTGCAATTTGTCTTCCTTCAATGAACGTAGACTGGTTTGGGCTTATGATAGATGGCATCACCCTCCGTAGTCTATTTGCAAGGATCTTGGAGATTATCTTGTACATGCATCCAATAAGAGATATGGGCCTAAAGTCTCCCAAACCTTGAGGGTTCTCCTTCTTTGGGAGCATAACAATAAATGATGTGTTGCTTCATTTCACCAATCTCCCTTTAACCCAAAATTCTTTTGCAAAAGCAACAATGTCTTCTTTTAGTGTAAGGCACATTTATATAATTAGTTTTTAAATTTAGATATCAACATTTAATAAAATAGTTTTTTAAATTTTGAATTAAATTTTAATTTAATAAAACATCGTAATTTAAAAT